ACACAGGGAGAACATGCAGACTCCACACAGACAGCACCCCAGGAGTTGAACCCAGGGCTCCAGCACTGTGAGGCAGCATGGCTCTCCACTGCACCACTGTGATCCTGATTTTCCACACGTATTCCCAAATCCAAGGTCAGTGGATCTGCCAGGTTCAGCCTGTAGACCCTCATGAAGGAATGAGCAGAGACCTCAGCACATGGTCTTTGGGTAAAATCAGATTTCTATACCATCAGCCCCTTTGGAAGAGCATTCACAGCCAACTGGATTGAAATCCTTCTCCCTGTGAGATTTACTGTGGGATTTTACAGAAACATGAGACTGAAATACATCTGCTTCTGTTTACGCACCAGGAGTGACAATCTCACACTAAAGACACGTTCTTAACTCAATAAACACAGACACCAGGGCTTTTAAACAGCCCCTTTATCACCAACACACACAGGAGACAGACCTACCTGCAGCACTGCACAGCCACTGCCACTCTGAAACACAGAGATACACACACTGTTAATCACAGACGCACACTGAACACAGAGATACAGACACTGATAATCACAGACACACACTGAACACAAAGATACGGACACTGTTAATCACAGACATACTCTGGGCTACACACTAGAATAAAATGATAAAAGAGTTTTCAGCATGGAACAAAAACACTTCATTTTGACAACTCTTTGGGCCTATTAAAATCTCTTACCTCCAGGTCTGCATTTCTCTGAAAAACAATAAACAGTAAGATGTTAGAGAAGCTGGTTTCTATCTTTTGAGTGTACTACTAATTTCCCTTTTGTGTTTCCAGTATTGCCTCTCTGTGAGGCAATGTGAGGTTGTGAGGGGAGGATTTGAGGGAGAGCTGGTGAGGACTGAGACAAAGGTAGTGTGAATGAGTGTGAGAGAGCTGGTGAAGACTGAGACACAGGTAGTGTGAATAAGTGTGAGAGAGCTGGTGAAGACTGAGACACAGGTAGTGTGAATAAGTGTGAGACACCAGGTGTAGACTGAGATACAGCTGGTAAATAAGTGTGAGAGCTGGTGAGGACTGAGACACAGCTGGTGTGAATGAGTGTGAGAAAGCTGGTGAGGACTGAGACACAGCTGGTGTGAATGAGTGTGAGAGAG